TTTGTAATAATACTACTTTAGTATTATGAGTATGATGATGTGGATTATATGTATTTGAGATGTGAGGGTTGTTACAGGTTGTATTTGCACAACCAATGCAACCCAATAAATTGAGATATTTATGGAAATTATGAGAGTTCATTTATTATGATTTAAATATTTATGAAAGATGAATACAGTTCATTAATTATGATCAATACCTTATATTAGGAAACAATCAAAACTTTTACAAAATTACATATTCATCAAGTTAAATGGACGATTAAGATTGTATTATATTGGTTGTACAAATGCACATTAAGTCCTATTACTTGAATATATAGTAAACACAAGGATTAGGTTTAAAACAATGTCTATTTTTTTTTAAAACTTAACCGGTTAACGAAGGGCCAAAAAAAGGACCGGTTAAAGACCAATGGACCTAATTAGCACTTGTTACAATCATTAGTTTTTAAAACTTGATGAATAAGTAACGTTTTTATAAAGCTAACAAAAATACTTTTTCCATCTTTTCAAATAAAAACGGAATATGATTAGTACTATCGAAACTTAAGTCCGACCTAACTTTCAAACCAAGAATTTGATTAGTTTTTATTATTTAACAATTTGAATTGGGTCTATAAGGACCGGGTCAAAGATCATTTATTCTACATTGGTTGTATTCCGGTGAGAAAGAGAGTTAAGATGAGAATGATAAAAAGGGATTTCCACCCTTGGATGCACATCAGAATGAGATGCATCGAGATGGGATGCACTGGATCAATCCTCGTATAAAGTGTAATTCATGCGTGAGTTTGAGATTAAATGTGATCAAGGGTCCATATATCTTATTATGCTTCTCAAATTATTTCTCACATGATGTTTTGCATATTCTGCATTTCTAAATATAGGGGAGGGATATTTTGCAAACCAAGTCATTTTGTACAAACCATAAAAGCCGTCGATTTCATTGTGTATTTTAATGAATTTTTTTCATGAAATTGTTTGATATAATTAAATTGTTTCAAATGAATAATTATATCAAACAATTCATTTAAAATAACTATGAACATTATCATCTCCATTCTATTAATTTTAGTAATGAATTTCATCAAAAATGAGAAATAAA